CGCCACCTAAAGGAAGGCGATGGCTCCGGCTGACAGCTACACTAGGCAAGATCCTGAAGGACGACGACACGGTCGAGTCCTACAAGATTGAGGAGAAGGGCTTCGTCGTCTGCATGGTCAACAAGGTCCGTAGCCCGACGACAATACCCGCGCTTGCCCGAGTCTACCCTACTGACGACTCAACAGCCCAAGGCACCCAAGCCCGCTCCGGCCGCCGAGTCCTCGTCTGCGCCTGCCGTCCCCGCCACGCCCGCTCAACGTGTCGCCGCCACGCCCGCCGCTCCTCCCGCTCCCGCTGCCCAGGCTGCTGCCCCGGCCGCGGCTCCCGCTACGCCGACTCCGGCTGCTAGATCCACCGGTGGCGATGCCGGCAACAACGACCCGTCAATGGCCATGGGCGCCCAGCGCCAGGAGGTGATTGCCAACATGGAGGCCATGGGTTTCGAGCGCGCTCAGATTGACGCCGCCATGCGTGCCGCCTTTTACAACCCCGACAGAGCCGTCGAGTACCTGCTCAGCGTGAGTTCCGATACCTCGAGGACTTGGTTCGCTGGACGCTGACAACGACTAGGGCATCCCCGAAGACGTCCAGGAGGAGCAAGCACAGCGACAGGCCGCTGCTGCGGCGCCCGCTCAGCCTTCCGGTGGTGCGCCCGCCGGCGGTGATGACGGCAACGTCAACCTCTTCGATCTTGCTGCCCAGTCGCGTGGTGGTAGTGGTGGTGGCGGCGGTGGTGGACGTGGCGCCTCCGCCGGCAACACCCAGGCCGCCGCCGCTGCAGCTGCCGCTGCCGCCGCCCAGGGTGGCTTCGGCAACCTGGACTTCCTCAGAAACAACGCTCAGTTCCAGCAGCTCCGTCAGGTCGTCCAGCAACAGCCCCAGATGCTGGAGCCTATTCTCCAGCAGCTCGGTGCCGGCAACCCCCAGCTTGCTCAGCTGATCGCCAACAACCCCGACCAGTTCCTGCAGCTTCTCGGCGAGGAGGTTGACGACGACGTGCCTCTGCCACCCGGTGCGCAGGCCATTCAGGTCACCGAGGAGGAGCGCGACGCCATTGAGCGGGTGGGTTTCTCTTGACATTGTATGGGGATCACGATGCTGACTACTTTAAGTTATGCCGTCTCGGCTTCGACCGCGATGCTGCCATCCAGGCCTACTTTGCCTGTGACAAGAACGAGGAGCTTGCCGCAAACTTCCTCTTCGATCAGCCCGATGACGACGATGCGCCCCAGAACTAAGCCCGACTCGCAACGACCGCATGACGACACAATCTATGACAGAAACGCAGGGCTCAGGAATTACCGGACGGGGTTGGCTCGACGACATTGACGTGAGGAAAAGACCTCAGGATACCTGGTCCAGAAGGGCGGTATCCCCATCAGTAAGGCGGGCATGTGGCCGCGTGGAAGTAGATGATGCAATTCTTTTGTCGGTAGAGCTGGCGTGGAGGCAAGCAGTCTGAGGAAAATATGCGTAAAATGACCTGGACGCATACGGAGGTCGCAAGCTACTCGCGGTTACAACTGCTCATGCTTGTGCTTGACCAGGATTATTCCTGTTCTGGCTTGGGAGAGAGCGTGGCGTCAGTCCTAGGTAGCCAGGCCGGGTAGTACCGGGTAATTCAACTCTTCAGTGCCATCTTTCGGTCTGTGGCGCAATTTGGTTGTGTGAGTGAGGCCAAAGTGAATGGGGTCGGTCCAAGGGGTTGGCCTCACTCTTGGCAGTTGGCCTCACGCCTCGTGGGGGACTATAAAAGAACACCCAGACCTCGCCTTTCCAAATGTTAGTTTCTGTTTCTTCTGTATACTTACCTGCCTGACGACCTTCGGAGATCAAGAGTACCGGGTCGTGGAGGAGGGGGACCTGCATTGCACACACACAAACATCGCGGCCGTGCCCCTCGCCGTGTGGGGCTCCTTTGCGGGAACCGTACGAGGTATAATTTTTGATTCCATTCTCGTTTTTGACGTTTTTTTCACGTTGAAAAACACTGTTGTTGTCTTTTTTTCCCCTTTTCATTGTGGCTGGCGCCTTGGGCGGTGGTATGAGGAAGAAGGGTGTGTATGTGTATTGGTGTTTTGATTTTGATACGGGGGAGGTGTCCACGGAGGAGGTGTGGGTAGCTTACGATGATGGGGTTGGGTTTGTCGTGATTAGGTGCTTACAGATGCATTCTGGGAGGTATGGTATTACACCACAAGCAGGGTACTTCTGTCAAATTTTTTTAAAATGATTTTAATTTTTGGGAATGTACTTCGGAGACGACAATGTCTCGATTCCCTAGCCGTCCTTTCGCCTTGAAATCCTTCGCTGCAATAATAAAAGAACTACGAAAGTACCAAACGCCGCCTCATTGCCCATAGGGCCCCTGGTGTAATAGCAAAAAAAAAAAAAAGGGGTATCTGTCTAGTAGGACCAAGGGGGGGAAACCAGCCGTCCGCCCCTCTGTCCACACTGCCATGAACCTTGGCTCCCCGGCCCCCCGATTGTGCGTAATGTGTACACCTCTGTGTGCTCAGTGAATGATCTCGCCACGCATGTTATATTCCACGGCCTTCTTCTTCGTCTTGCCCGCGCCCCGCTTCTTGCGTCCCGCGTCGGGGTCCATGTTCGTCTCGTCAATGGTAATCATGCCGTCCGCGTCGACCGTGATCTGAGGACCGACGTTGGCCTGCTGCCTCTTGGGCTTGGCGCCGCCGCTTCCACCACTACCGCCGCCGCCGCCGCCAGCAGCAGCACCCGCTGCGGACCCCTCGCCTTCGGCATCTCCTCCACCCTCGCGCTTGTCCTGCAGCGAAGCGAGGTTCCTGGCATTGATGGCGTCCTTGGCCGCCTTGATCTTGGCCTGCTCGGCGTCGAACTCGGCCTGCTGCGCGCGCTGCGCCGCCATGATGGCCTCGACGGGTTCGTACTCGGCCTTTGTCCACGTCTTGTACTCGTCCAGGTCGATCTGCAGCTCCTTCTTGCCGACGAGGATGGCGTCGATGCGCGCGGGCCTGTGGCGCTCCTCGCGGTTGAACTTCATCTTGACGTGCCGCCGGTTCTTGCCGGGGAACATGCCGCTGATCATCTGGAAGTCGGTGCCAAACATGCGCAGCCCGCGGTAAAACAGCTCCGTCTCCTCCTCGTTCCAGACGTTGGGTCCCTTGAGCTTGGAGCCCGTGCGGTAGCTGTTCTGCGTCGTAAGCGTCGTGAAGTCGTTTTCTTCAATCTCGAGCATGTCCTCGCCCTCGGCGGCGGCGGCGGCGATGGCGTGTCGGTCGAGGCTGAGGGAGTTTTGGTCCACCACAATCTGTCCGTCAATAATTTGGAATTGGGGCCCAGTGGAGGCCATGCTGGTCGGTTTCGGCGGGGGAGGAGCTGCCGGCGTGACCTGGTCGCTCGTCGGTGCCGGTGTCCCGCTCTCCGAAGCCACATCCTCCGAGCCGTTCCTCTTCGCCTTGAGTCTCTCTCTGGACTTTGCCTGCTTCTCGCGGTGGCGCTGGAGGAGCTCGTCGTGTCTGCTGAACTTCTTGCCGATGCGCAAGTCTCGTGTCAAATCGCCCATGGTCAGTGTGGCGAGGTCGGCCTCCTGGTCCTCCGCATCATCTGGCGTCACTGAGCGGGCTTGCCGAGGTCGTGCTGGCTTGTTGGCAGTAGTAGCGGCATCCGTGTCTCCTTCTTCTGTGGTCTTCTTCTTTCTCGGCCGAGGCGGTCGTTTCGGCGCGGCGTCCCCATCTGCCGGCTGCTTTCGTGGTCTTTTGGGTTTAGGGGCCCCAGCACCGTCTTCGCCCTCTTCGGCGGTCTCGCTCGTCTGGGTTACTCGTTTTCGAGGTCGCTTGGCAGGTGCCTTCTTGGCGGTAGTCTTTGATGTATCGTCTGTTGTTGCTGTCTGCGCTGCGCCCTCTGTTGAAGGCACTACGTCGGCCGAGGGAGCAGTAGCGGGCGGAGTCTGGAGTTGAGCTAGTGTCGAGGCCTCGTTGGCGATGGCCTCTACAGCAGGAGCGGGCGTCACGGACGGTGGCTGTGGGCGGCTTTGTGTTGGCGGCTCTGTTGACTGATTTGCCCCAGCTGGTTCCACTGTGGAAGCAGGTTTCGCAGAGGACTCGCTCGTCGTGGGTTGCGTCTGGGGCGTAGCAGCCTTCGTCGTTCTCGGCTCGGTCGATGGCGGGGTACTCGTAGGCACGTCTCTGGGCGTATCTCTCGAATCGGCTCGTTTCTCGGCGGCCGACGGCGCTGTTATCTCGGTAGGTTCGCTTGCGCTACTCTCTGCTGTGGTTGCAATCGCGGCGGCAGTCGTCGACGGGGCCCTTGATGGCTGCGGTGCTGCTGCTGCTGCTGCTGCTGCTCCTGCTCCAGGCGCTCGAGGACGGGCCATGGGCATTTTTGGCTTGAAAGCCATGCCGGCCTTTTTCTTGAACATGGAACTCATGATGGCGATTGTGTCTAGTCTTTCTTGTTTATCGTTGCGGCAATATCCTCATGATCGGAGCTGAGGCTGAAAGTTGGATCTGGTGGATTGTCACTTGCGAGCCAGACTTTTTGCCAATCGCGGCGGGACAGTGACTGAAGTGGGTGGGATGCAGAGAAAAAGTGCTTCTGATAAGTAGGTGCGGGACCCGACAATTAGCCGGTACGTGCGCTGTGCTGTCCAGCGCGGCGGGGCGCCCTACTGGTTGATAAGGCCATGGATGGCCTACGCAGCGCTAGACCTGTTTGGGGAGTGGACCGGCTGGCTTGATTTGAACGTGAAGCGTCGGCGTTCAACCTCGAAAATTCAACCTCCTTGCCCCAAGTATTCCTCACTCATCGCCAGCGCCGAATCAGCACAGCACGACTCTGTCGACCTTCGCATGGCTCGGATCAATCCCTAAGCACGTTCAGCTGTCCCACGCAGCGCATTTTATCGCCCTTGCCCGACCCTCGGACGCATACATCGTCTCTGCATCTTCCTACCTTTCTCATGCCTGTAGCGACCTCAGCCCCGACTGCCTCTCCGCGTCCGTCCACCTTGACCAAGATGGAGGACAGGAAGAGACCCCCCATCAGCACCGCCGAGGACCTCGCTCCTCCGAGCAAGCGACATCAATCCGTCAATGGAAGCAAGTCCAAGGGCGATAGTGGCGACCACGCCGAGGAACACTGGATCGAGGTAAGTGTCACGAGACACGTATTCCCCAACACATCAAGTTTTCTCAACAATCAATGGACCCCTACGCGATTCCCTTGTGCCATCAATGGCGACGCGACATCTCGATCATCGACTGCCCCCAGCCACGCTCAACACTGGCGGACTACGATCGACTGGCCTGGAATGGCCTTTCGATCCGCCGTTGAGGGCGACGAGGCTGCCTGACGGTTATATCCGTCTCCCTGTCCACGCATCCGACTGTCCCACACGCTTTTCATCGCCTGGTGCGAAAAGAATACATGGAGAGGGCGCGAGCTGATGATGAGTTCAGAATTACCAAAAGGGCGCCATTTATCGGCAACTTTTAGAAACAAAAAGGGAAAAGCAAGAGTTTGAGTCACGCGTCGAGCAATTGCAAAAGAGTATTGTATATCGCGAGGATCATATCCGCATCATTGAAGCATGGTGGAAGCAGGTCAGTTTGATTGATCCCTTGACTCGGTCGCCTGGCTGACCCCCTCACTAGGTTCTAGAGGAGATGGAGCAGCTCGTGGACCCTGCAACACCCCCCTCCGGCCCAACAAGTGAGTCCCCTTGTCGCATCCATACCGACATGAGACTGACAGTCCAGACCCTCCGTACATTACCAGCACGCACTTTAAAGATAACGACGAGTTCCAAAGGCATCTTGACGAGACAGCCTCTGATATCAAGAAGCGAGCCGAAGCTGTGCTCAGTCGCATCGCAAACGCTAGGGGAGAAATTACGCCAAATATTGCTGACCTTGAGACTCGGGTCAATAGCCTGCTTGCGCAGCAAAAGGAGTATCTGGTCAAGTTGGACCGTGCACAGCAAGAGAATGAGCAGCTATCGGAAGACCTCAACAAGGCCAGCCTTCGCTTCTTCAAGGCCGAAAAGCGCATGGACAGATTAAAGAGCGCGCAGGTCCAGAAGCTCGAGCAGCAATTCATCGCCAGCGCCAAGCCGACAATCGCCGCGGGGGAGAACGGACAGGATGCCGCCGAGGCAAACGGTAACGCTGCCGAGGCACTGCTCAAGTTTGAAGAGGCGTCGGCCGTCGTCAATAAGCAGAAGGAGCAGCTGGAATCTGCGCAAGCCGATATCAAGACCCTGCAGGAGGAGAACTCAGCGCTAAAGGCACGACGCGAAGGCCTCACTGACGAAGATTTCATCCGGACCGACGTGTTCAAGCAGTTCAAGAACCAGAACGAAGACCTGATCAAGCGCGTCAACCACCTGGAAGCCACGAACAAGCAGTTGCGAGAAGAGGCCGAAAAACTGCACTCGGAGCGAACAGCCTTCCGGACCAAGCTTCACGACGAGGCGCAGACGATAACATCGGACCTGGAGCGCCAAGTCGAGGAGCGTGACGCAGACCTGACACGGATCCGCGCCGCCCGAGACGAGTGGTACGCCAAGGCCAACATGCTAGAAACCCGAGAAAAGGAGGAGAAGCAGGCGCTGCAGCACCTCAAGGAGCTCACGGGTGCCCAGGAGGACCGAATCGCATCCTTGGAATTGGAGCTGCAGCGTCTGAAGCCCGAAGACCAGCCGATGGCGGACCCCGATCCCGAACTAGAAAGCATGCCCGCGGACGACCTCATTTCAAAGTACAAGAAGCTGCAGCAGGATTTCGAGTCGATCAACAAGGAGTTGCCCGCTCTCCAGCAGGCGTACAAGCGATCGATGGGTCTCGCACAAAAGAAGGTGATGGAGTACACGGTTCTCGAAGACCGGGCAGCGGCCGCACTCGCCGAGAAGCAAAAGGTCGACCAAAAGTACTTTGCGGTAAAGAAGGATGCGGACATGAGAGACCGCGAACTTGGCGTGCTCCGAAGCCAGAACCGCAAGAGTTCCGAGATTGTTGCGCAGCTCAAGGAGGTGGAGGCGCAAAACCGGATACTGATTAGCAACCTGGAGAAGCAGCTCTCGGACCTGAAGCAGGCCAACGCGGCAATGGCTGCAGAGCACAAGAAGATGGAGTCGAGCAGTTCCGACGCGGCGCGCCGGGTCGATTCCTACAAGAACCAGATTGGCGAATTGACCAGCTTGGTCAAGTCGCGCGACGCTGCCATGGCTGCGGCCAGGGAGCGCACCACAACCCAGGAGGCGGACGTTGAGCGCCTCAAAGTCCGCGCCGACATGATGCAAAAGGAAAAGGACGAATGGAAACGCAAGGCGTTGAGCAACTCGTCGGAAGAAGAAGAGATGCTCAGAGTAAGTCCCTCCCCCCCCCCCCCCACATGCTGAAGACAGAACGAAAGCTAACTGTATGCAGACCTTTGCACTCTGCACAGTGTGTCGCAACAACTTCAAAGATACGGCCTTGAAGACGTGCGGGCATCTTTTCTGTCACCAGTGCGTGGACGACCGGATCAGCAACCGAATGCGCAAGTGCCCCAACTGCTCGAGGGCCTTTGACCGGCTGGACGTCATGTCTGTTCACCACTAGCCGCTCCTGTGCGGCCTACTACCCGACTCGGCTCCCGTGTCGGCTGCTGTTTTGATATGCTTCAAAGACGTTTGCGCAGCTTGGAGTTTGCTTCCGTGGCAGGGGATTTCATGGTATGATACCTTTAAGACGCTCGCGATTGGAAATGATGGATCGTTGTACTTTTACGTGTATGGAAGACGGCCTGGACCTCGGAAAATGTACATAATGTCATGTCCCCCACCCCCCTTTGGGGCTGATCACAAACTAGTTAGTTGTAGGAGGCGGGCGAGAGGAGCATGTACGAGACCACGTGGAGGACAGGATAGACCTAGAGTCGAGCTGGCTCACATGACGTTCAAATTACTCTTTGCCTACTTTCAAGTTTACTATCTCCTACTGGTCGACCCAAACCCGGTGCTTTCGTGACGGGTCGAGCTTGAGGAGGAGCTGGTTGATCTCGACGGGCCAGCCCCATAGGAGCCGGAACCGCTGGTCGTATCGCCGCCCCATCCCGAGCCGTAGTTCTGCTGGTTCCGCGCGCTGTTCCTGCCTTGGTAGTAACCCGCGCCATACCCCGCGGCACCGCCAGCCCCCGCGCCAGTCCAGAAGCCAGGGCGCCATCCCTGCTGGTTGCTTGAGCTGGATGGTTTGGTGCCTGGGTACGGCGGGGGAGGATCGTCATCCTGACCGAAGCCGGGGTTCCATCCACCCCCGCCACCTCCTCCGGGCCCACCGCCACCGCCGCCGCCTCCACGGCGCCGACCGGTTCCACCGGTCCTTCGATTTTGAGTGCCGGCCACGCACGCCGAGTAGAGAATCCAAGCCAAGACGGAAAAGAAGATGACGCCAAAGAGGTAGGCTCCCCAGTCCGTCCCGTCGTCGTCGTCACCACGGCCGCCGCCACCACCGCCGCCGCCGCGTCCCTTGCCCAGGTTCGGATACCGCCTCTCGCCCTTGTCCGTGAGAGCGAGACGGTACTCGACGCCGCAGCTACCGCGAAGGACATAAGGGTCGTCGGAGTGGGCGTACCCTTCGCACACGACGTCCGTGGACCCGAGCTTGAGCTCCTCGGGCAGCGAGGCGACGCAGGACCACTGGATGTCTTCGGGGCCGTAGCCGGCGCCGTTGTTGGTGCAGCGCATCACGTCGATGGCGTGGAGGTTGCAGAGGGACGGGTGGGAGAGGCACTTGAGCTGGGGCGCGGCGGGGACGCGGCGGTGGGTTGTTGTTGCGCCGGCGCCGCGGAGGGTGAGAGATTGGACTTTGGAGAGGAGGATTGCGTCTTTGGAGGGAGGTTTGGCGGCGGCGGCGGCGAGGCCTGCCATGCTCAGGGCGAGGAGGTGTGAGAGATGCATTTTCTGATAAGTGATGTGAGATATGGATTGATGGTATGAGTGTTGATGTTGTTACTTTCTGTAATGTGACGTCGCTTTCGAGTTTGTCCCGCGTGGTGGCGGGTTACGTGGTTCGCCGCGATGGAAGGTAGACAATGTGCTTCGCGGCGGTCCTGGTGATGAGAAGGTTTGGCTATAAGTGAGTAAAGACTGATGTCTGGGTTTTTGATAAAACCAGGCAGCAAGGTTTTATCTCCGAAGAGGACAGGTATGAGGTGAGGCTCAAATGAACCTCACTGGGCCGCCAAGTGACGAGCCTGGCAGCGGTGATGTGGGATTGGGTGCTCTTTGGTGAAGAGGGTGGCGCAGCAGTGGCGAGTGTGTATTGTGGCGCTCCCACAGACCTTTTTCCGTCTTGGTCACGTGCCTGATCTGGTGTAATCATTCTCCACCTTTTCTGTCCTGAGCCGTCGGGTCAAGTTGATGCGTCCGAGCTTTTTTGGGGGGGGGCTTCCCCATCTCGCAGAAGGAAAAAAGAAGAAAAAGCTTGGCAAGCATTGTCGTGCATCGCCAAGACGGGTGACACAGTCTTTTTTTTTTTTTTTCTCCTTTGGGTAAATTGATTTGCACGACTTACTTTTTGAGGTATGCCGCAATAGCATATTTGACGGGTCAATCGCAGCAAAGTTAATGACAACCAGGTACGTCTCTCCTGCATGGTCGGTGCTTGCCCATGGTTTTACCTTTGCTGGACTCAGTGAACCAGAGCCTCGAGGCTCATTTTGCATGATGGCGACTACGAAGTAGCGAATCTCCGACCAAGGGAAGTTAATCTAATTTCGCAGTATCACTGCCCACCGTGATAGGCTGGCACACTTAAGCATGGGAATACTAAACCTGCAAGGTACGGCCCCACATGCTTCTGATTTTTTACGGATACACTACGGATACTTTGGTATGAAGCATATGGGCAGATCAGCATGAAGTTCGCTCTACGGACGGAGGAAAAGACACCACGGATTCCAGGTAAAAGGCCACAGCATCAAGGACAGACACTCTTTTCTACAAGACAATATCATTGTCGCAGGAGACGCATCGTTCCAATATAAGAAGAAAAAAGGGGAACCTGCGGATTCACCTGAGTCAATGCCGTTCTGCCCCAGAGCTCCCCACATGTACTCTGTACTCCATACAGTCAGTCTGCCAGTGAAACGACCAGAACCAGACCAAGGGGTCCCGACATGGAGACCGTCTCGCGTTCGGCTCGGTTTCGGGCGCCAAGCGCAGTTCAGCTCGTCTTTTCCATCGTGTCCCAGATCCATACGGCTCCCACCAAACATCGCGGCTGTCTTCTTGGACGGTACCGTCAAACGACGACCGGCGGTGGGAACGCGTCAGCCGGACCTGTGGAACATGGAAAATCCTCTCGGCATTTGGACGTGGCCCATCAAGACAAGGAAGCTTTTGGTCGAAATCAGATCAGATAATGCAGGTCGGACTATTCCCACTGCCCGTTACTTCTTTTCTCTTCGTCCTCCAACATATGCATAGCGAAAAGGGACTGAGGGACCGTGCTCTGGTACCTTTCCCCCTCCTACCTGTTGGGCCTCCGCGGAGCCTTTCTTTGGCCTGTGAACCTCCCGCCTGTTTGGGCGTGGTCCGAGGCTGATGTTGGGGTTCGTCACACGGGCATTTGACGTCGGTCCAGCTCTGCTACTTTGTAGCGATTCTCGCTCCCGTAATCCAACGGTTTTCTAGGTATGGCATGACCAAGAGTGCCGACAACAGACACTCCCGACTATAGCAGAAACAAAAGGCACGTCTTCAGTCGTGTGCGATAGACTTTGAGCGGTGTCTGGATCTCTGCAACTCGGCACCGACGACGGCGACCCGTCGGCAAGAGACTCCGGAGTTGAGCGCTGACCCGTGGTTTCCCATGTCGAGTGCCAACACCTTGCGCGCTTCGGATGCCACAAGGTTCACATGTTCAGGCAGGTTCACCTCTGCGTCCATTACTTGGGAAAAGATTGTGAACACACACACACACACACACACACCGGATGAATCACCATGCAACCTACCAGGACCACCCTTGATCAGCGCCCCCAACTTACAAAAATTCAAGCATTGCAAAGCTGCTGAACCTACTGAGCACCTCGCCATGTCTAATCGGATTCTATCCAGCACGCAGCAGGCGCGTCTTGCCCTCCTCAAGAAGATTTACAAACCAGACGCCCACTTGCAGAAAGGATCTATCGAGTACGAAAGGCTGGCGCGCTCCGGACGGGTATGGGAAGATTACTTTATGCCCGGCAACAGCCTCAAGATGGGGCACGTCGATGTGCAGCGGAAAATGACGGGCCTGTTAAATGAAATCGATCACCTCAGAGGGAGGCTGCCAGTAAAGGACCTGGGGAAAACCCTGATTGCCGAGTACGCCCAGCAGTCCGTAATGATTGAAAACAACCCTCTTTCAATGACAGACGCGATCCGCATTTTAGACCGCCTGCGAGGTGATCTTGAACAAGCTGACCTTGCCTCCACGCCCAGCAGCGAGCTTGCCAGGCTTGTGACGACATGGACTGCTCCAAGAGGCGCAGGCGTCACCGAGTCGGCCACAAATGAGCTGCAGAACCACATCATCGCATCGCAATGGATCGCAGAGAACGCGGCGGCCAAGGCTGATACCGCGGGACTATGCGAAGCCGAAGTACGAGACCTTGCTGTGGTGTCCGTCGTTAACACGGACTCCGAGTCAGCCTATGACACCTGGAGAACAGTCTCAAAAAAGGCTGGCGGCGACTTGATATGGGGATCGAGAGTCCCGCTGGGAGAGTACCGTAATCTGCCCATCAGCGTTCGCAGTAATCGTCTTCGGATCTTTCCGTACCCGCGAGAGGTCCCGGCCTGCATGGAGAGGTTCTTCCAATGGCGAGACCTGCAGCATCGAGAGAAGGCGCTGCACCCGCTGTTTCTGGCTTGTCAGATGACGGCTTACTTTGTTCTCGTTCATCCGTTTCCCGATGGCAATTGGCGTACCAGTCGCATGGTCAAGCAGGATTACCTGGCGCGTCAGGGCTACGTTCCCTTCGTCATCCGGGACTTGAAGCGGGAAGACTACCTGCGGATGATCGACGGCGCCGGCGAAGGCAAACCGGAAGAATTCGTAACAGCGGTGCTTGAGGCTCAACTGGCCGTGCTGCACCAGGCTTCCACACGCCTCAAGATGTAGATGGCACACGTGTCACTGTCACTCCACGTTTGATGCGTCCCGGGGTTGCGGTACGTCTGTGGAAGTCATCCGGCCAGGGTAGGGCTCGGAGAATTTGGCGGTGTCTTGTGGCGTCCCGGGAGACCGACGATTGCTGACCACCGTGGGATAGTGGGTTGTTGAAACAAGCGACGGCTCGCATCTTCTAAGAGAATGCGAGCAAATACGGCCTGACTGGTCGATCGGGGGACGGCGCCAAAATTCCCGCCATACGGGAGAGAGTAGCTGTGTTACGCCCGCGATTCAGTTTAGCGTGAGGCCCCTATCATAGGTACATTAGCTACGGCGGCGACAATGCACTCCGCGATCCGGCTGGCATTGTCTGTCGTCCAAGTAGTTTGCCTAGTAATCAATTGCCATCTCTATCGACCATATCCGAGCCCGCGTATTCAAACGTTACGCGTGCCCTTTTGCTGGCATGAGACCTCGATCAATGACAGCATCCGCGTTCTGTCCAAGGCTCACCCCTGTTGGTGTGAGCGTGAGAGGGCTGCGGGGACCCTTCAAAGTCTGAAATCCAGCAGCTCGTCTAAACCAACAAGTGTTTGAGACGACCTGTTCCATAGGTGACGGCGGCAGTACACCGCTCCTGGGAACCAGGGAACTTTGGACCGAGTCCAGATCGTCCCGTCCACAACACTGGAAGACGACTCATTGGCCGAAGCGCATTCCTGGCAGCCATCACGAATCGCAGTCTGAACTCTGTACCTTTTAGATTGTAAGCACTTGCATTTCGTATCTCGTTTTCAACGACACCTATGCCCATGGCAGAGTAATGAAGCGTCGTAATCGTCCAGCCGCCGGAACGAGAGAGCCCGGCACGAATACCCGACCCCCAAGGCCAAGGACCGTTTACGGTTTATCCGCTGGGCCCCCTATTGAATCGCTCGCACTCCCCTCCGCAGACCCACAGGATCGGGGCCCGAGGGGACGTTATCGCCGGCGCCTCAGAACTGGTCCGGACATAGGTGGGATAGGGACCCGGCCCGCTATGCCCTTGTCACCGTCAGACTGGGCGAAAGATGAGAGGGATTGCCATTGTCATCAAACTAGTATTGGTAACGGTAGATTATTCGTCAGTCGCGTATGTGCGTATGGCGGGGTATACTCGCTGTAACACGTAGCGACACCCCTCTAAGCTGAAAGAGCAGCCGCAAGGGATGGGTACGCAGTCATGTTCTGGAAGCTGTTAGAGGAACCGTGGATAGGAAATGAAATGGATCGGAATTCGGACTGCTGAAGAAACCCGAGGGAGGGGCAAAGCCGCAGAATAGTATTGCTGGCGGGGGGGGAAAGCGCAGCGGCGTAGGTCGTTAAGCGAGGCGCTGGGTTGGGTTCTACCACGCCGGCTGACTCGACCGGGGGCGGCAGCGAGACACGGGCCTGACTTGGACTACGGTGAGACAGAACGGGTTAAGACGGGTACGAAGTACACTGTCGCATGTACCTGCTTGCCAGTGCTTACCTCGACAGCAGCTGCCTGGCTCCCTACCTATTGTTTTGGCCGGTGGATGATCCGAACATGACGTGCAGGTCGGAAGCCCAAAGCACGGCTTCTCCGAGACTGCGTTCTTTCTCGATTGCTGGACCGGCGTGCTGGGATTGTTTGTCGAGTATACGGACGAAACATGATCGGTTGCTGGTTAGAAGCGTTGGGGCCCGGTAAAAGCTGAGTTTTGACTTTTATCCATTACACGTATATCTCGAGGCGTGTCTATCGGGGACGTGGATGAAGCGAGATACGAAGGATCAATCGTAATCATTCGAGTCTGATGGAAGAAAGGAGGAACTTTGGAAGGCAAGTACCTTGGGAGGTCCACAAAACGGTAGCGTCGATTCACAACCTAAGAGGACGCAGTGCTTACCCGTTTCTGCGTATGACTAAGGTGCGTGCATGTACTTTGTACTTTTGTACTTGCCTCCCGTCTCCAAGGCTCTTTCCCCAGAATATCTCGCGGAAGGCGGCCTGGGCAAAAGTATACCAAGACAGGAAAGAAGGAGCGGAGAAGGGGATGGAGAGAGCTGAAGCCTGCCGACAACGTGTCCAAGTTTACTGAACAATGAAGTATCCGCACCTACCTTGAGACAGAGAGCTGTGTGCGCCAACTGTTGAATCCCGGTCTCTCATGGCTCTTGAACCCCGGGTCAGGCCTGATGTGCAGCGTTGGTTTACTGCGCAAGCTGCGGTATCACAACCTTGGCTGCAATCATCAGTGCGTTGCAACGTGCTGCGGCTGCTGCTCATCGGTCCCACAGCTCGCACTTCGCACTCAATGCTCTGCGAATCCAGCTAGCAAGACCGAATAGGCCAATGTGAGTACTTTGTATGGTACGAGTATCTTGTACTCACCAACTAATGTATGTGGTGAGAAAGCCCTATAGAGTCCAAGATAGGCATAATCATTCCCGGATGACTGTCACCGGTGTTGGATATCGGCGTGCCCAACAGGGAAGGGATCGCACGAAACAAGCGCACCTCTTCATAGCCAACCGTACCAAAGTCCCTCCCCGTTCGTGTCTCTCGTCTGATGATGGGCCAGTGAGTCAACATGAGATGGACGATAAACACGCATGTAGGCGGCGCGGTTCGGGCATGGTAGAGGTACGCAAGGAACCGAGCTAGTCACAGTTCGGGAAGTTGACAAGAGCGAGGTCAGAACGGGTCGGCTGCATTCCGTCGAATCTCGTCCCAGTCGGTTGCTCCCATTTCGTCCTTGTGCCAGTAATCGTCTCCTTCTCCTTCTCTCCTGCGGCGTGCCCCCCCCCCCCCGGTCACCTCCTACCACTAGGCCCGCCGTCCATCTATATCAAATGTGCACACCCCAGTCCGTCCCTCGCCAAGGTCCTGGGTACTTTTTTTTATTCTCCAGTCCACGCCTACGAGACGAATTCCACTAATCCCTATCCTGACCTGCAACCCGACTGGTAACGCCTCTTTTCTCTATCCATCCTCGTCTTTTTCTTTATTAATTGTCGAGGGAGGCACGTCAAATCGACTGCAGTTGTTTTTTTCCCGCCCTTTCACTTGTTTGCGCGCGACAACGACGATCCCGAACCCGATCGCCGCAAACTCTTTCTTGGCCTTCGCCGTGGTCGATTTTCTTTGCTCTTCCATTCGCCGGTCTGTCTATATACCATTAGGATTGATTGTAATTTGGGGGAGAACAATTTGGATCTCGTCGTCGGACCAACCTACCCAAGCCATAGTACACAAGCTACACTAGCGACGGCACCTCACGTATAGGAAACCGACATTCGCATCCCAGCAAGCTTGCGCGCAGCGCATACCGGCGCAACAAGCTTTCCCCCACCCACTGCGCACAGCTCTGTCAGGAGCCACGGCGCCAGCATGTCTCTCGAGAGCGAGAAGCCCGTCGGGGCCAGCGAAAAGTCAACAGAGGTGGCTGAGAAGACAGCCAGCAACGGCCACTCTGACAGGGCATCGTCCCATGGCGACTCGACCGAAGTGGACGCATCGATCCAGCCCAAGAACCAGACGGCCAACACCACCAACAACCTCGAAAAGGCCGACTCCAAGGCTATCGCACCAAGAGACCCCAGCGATGATCCCTACGAGCACCTACCCGCCCATGAGGCTGCGATCCTCAAGCGTCAGGTCTTCACTCCCGAAGTCAAGGCCGGCATCATGACTCTGTACCGGTATTCTTCGACTAATGACCTGCTCATCCTCTCCCTCTCCGCCTTCACGTCCATCGTGGTCGGCGCCGCACTGCCGCTCATGACGGTCATCTTTGGTAACCTGCAGGGCACTTTTCAAAACTACTTTGCCGGCACGACGTCCAAGGACGATTTTAACAGCGAGATGGCGAGCCTCGTCTTGTACTTTGTCTACCTCGCCATTGGTGTTTTCGTGTGCCAGTACATCACCACGGTTGGATTCATCTGTAAGTTTGCGCCGCGGCGGGAGGATGCGAGTCTAAATCTGACGCAAGACCAAAATTAGACACGGGAGAGCACATTAGCGCAAAGATTCGCGAGCACTACCTCCAGAGCTGCATGCGCCAGAACATTGGTTTCTTCGACAAATTGGGCGCCGGCGAGGTGACGACCCGAATCACCGCCGACACCAACCTGATCCAGGACGGCATCTCGGAAAAGGTCGGCCTCACGCTTGCCGCCATCGCCACCTTCATCTCGGCCTTCGTCATTGGTTTCGTCCACTACTGGAAGCTCACCCTGATCCTCTTGTCTACTGTTGTCGCCCTTCTCCTGAGCATGGGAGGCGGCTCGACCTTTATCGTCAAGTACAGCAAGCAGTCCATCGAGTCGTACGCCCATGGAGGCAGTCTGGCCGACGAGGTCATTAGCTCCATCCGCAACGCCGTCGCCTTTGGCACCCAGGACCGTCTTGCCAAGCAGTACGATGCGCACTTGACAAAGGCCGAGTTCTTTGGCTACAAGGTCAAGTCCGCCATTGGCGTCATGGTCGCGCTGATGATGACCATTCTGTACCTCAATTACGGTCTCGCGTTCTGGCAGGGAAGCAAGTTCCTCATCGACGACGGCATCAAACTGTCCAACATTCTCATCATCATGATGTCCATCATGATTGGTGCCTTTAACCTCGGAAACGTCGCCCCCAATGTCCAGGCCTTCACCACTGCCATTGCGGCGGCCGCCAAGATCTACAACACCATTGACCGCGTCTCTCCCCTGGACCCTTCCCGCGACGACGGAACCAAGCTCGAGCAGGTCGAAGGCACCATCCGCCTCGAGAACATCAAGCACATCTACCCGTCTCGCCCAGAGGTCACGGTCATGGACGACGTGAGCTTGACCATTCCTGCGGGTAAGACCACGGCTTTAGTTGGCGCCTCGGGCTCCGGCAAGAGTACCATTGTCGGTCTTGTTGAACGGTTCTACGACCCCGTCCGCGGATCAGTGTTTCTGGACGGCCACGACATCAGCACCCTGAACCTACGCTGGCTGCGTCAGCAAATGGCACTCGTCAGCCAGGAGCCCACTCTGTTCGCGACCACCATCTACCAGAATATCCGATACGGTCTCATCGGTACCCAGCACGAGAACGCGTCCGAGGAGGAGCAAAAGAAGCTCATCGAGGAGGCGGCGAAAATGGCAAACGCTCACGACTTCATTAGCGGTCTCCCCGAAGGCTACCTCACCAACGTCGGCGAGCGCGGTTTCCTCCTTTCCGGTGGCCAAAAGCAGCGCATTGCCATTGCGCGAGCGGTCGTGTCCAACCCCAAGAGTACGTCGGCCCTGCACCTCTTAATAGTGCCCTTTGCTAATCCCCCCTAGTTCTGCTTCTCGACGAGGCCACCTCTGCCCTTGACACCAAGTCCGAGGGTGTTGTGCAAGCCGCTCTCGAAGTCGCCTCCCAGGGCCGAACCACCATCACCATTGCCCACCGTCTGTCCACCATCAAGGATGCCCACAACATTGTCGTCATGTCCAGCGGCCGCATCGTCGAGCAGGGTACCCACAACGACCTCCTCGCCAAGCAGGGCGCCTACTACAACCTCGTCACGGCCCAGAACATTGCCCGCGTCAACGAGATGGACGCCGAGGAGGAAGAAGCCATTGACGCCGAAGACGACGAGATTATCCGCAAGGCCTCGCGCGCCTCCGACAAGGGTTACGTTGCTGACCCGGAAGACAACATGGCCGCCAAGCTGCAGCGAACAAGCACCTCCAAGTCTCTGTCCAGCATCGCCCTCCAGAACCGAAAGGACGATGGTGAGGTCAAGTACGGTCTGTGGACTCTCATTAAGCTCATCGCCTCGTTCAACCAAAAGGAGTGGAAGCTCATGCTTATCGGTCTCTTCTTCTCCATCATTTGCGGTGGCGGCAACCCTACCCAGGCCGTCTTCTTCGCCAAGCAGATTATGACCCTGTCGGTCCCCATCACCCCGCAGACTACCCAGGAGACCCTTCACCAGATGAAGAAGGATTCTGACTTTTGGAGCGCCATGTACCTGATGCTCGCCGGCGTCCAGTTCATTGCCTTTGTCATCCAGGGAATAGCCTTTGCAAAGTGCTCTGAGCGCCTCATCCACCGCGTCCGTGACCAGGCCTTCCGCACCATGCTTCGCCAAGACGTTGCCTTTTTCGACAAGGACTCCAACACGGCCGGCGCGCTCACCTCGTTCCTGTCCACCGAGACCACCCACTTGGCCGGGCTTAGCGGCGTCACCCTCGGCACCCTGCTCATGGTCACGACAACCTTGGTTGCTGCGCTGGCGCTCGCCATCGCCATTGGCTGGAAGCTCGCCCTCGTCTGTACTGCAACCATCCCGATCCTCATTGGCTGTGGTTTCTTCCGTTTCTGGATGCTCGCCCACTTCCAGCGCCGCTCCAAGACGGCCTACTCTAACTCGGCAAGCTACGCATCCGAGGCCATCTCGGCCATCCGCACCGTTGCCTCGCTCACGCGCGAGGACGACGTCATCCGCCAGTACCAGACTTCCCTGGCCATCCAACAGCGTGCCAGTCTCATCTCGATCCTCAAGTCGAGCTTGCTGTTCGCCGCGTCCCAGTCCTTCATGTTTCTGGCCTTTGCCCTCGGTTTCTGGTACGGTGGTACGCTCATCGCCAATGGAGAGTACAACATGTTCCAGTTCTTCGTCTGCTTCTCTGCCGTCATCTTTGGTGCGCAGTCGGCCGGCTCCATCTTCTCGTTTGCTCCCGACATGGGCAAGGCTCACCAGGCCGCCAACGAGCTCAAGATTCTCTTTGACCGCAAGCCGACCATCGACACCTGGTCCAAGGAGGGCGCTTCGCTAGACGCCGTCGACGGCACCCTCGAGTTCCGCGACGTCCACTTCCGGTACCCGACCAGACCCGAGCAGCCCGTCCTCCGCGGGCTCAACCTCGTCATTCGCCCCGGCCAGTACGTCGCACTTGTCGGAGCGTCCGGCTGCGGCAAGTCTACCACGATTGCCCTTCTCGAGCGTTTCTACGACCCGCTTTCCGGCGCCATCTTTGTCGACGGCAAGGAGATTAGCACACTCAACGTCAACGAGTACCGCTCATTCATCGCCCTCGTCAGCCAGGAGCCTACCCTGTACCAGGGCACAATCAGAGAGAACATTCTGCTCGGTGCCCACACAGAGGTCACCGACGAGGCCATTGAGTTTGCCTGTCGCGAGGCCAACATTTACGACTTTATCGTCTCAATGCCCGAGGGTTTCAACACGGTTGTCGGAAGCAAGGGCGCTCTTTTGTCTGGAGGTCAGAAGCAGCGTATTGCCATTGCCCGCGCCCTCATCCGTGATCCCAAGATCCTGCTGTTGGACGAGGCAACATCTGCCCTCGACTCCGAGTCCGAGCACGTCGTCCAGGCTGCCCTCGACAAAGCCGCCAAGGGCCGCACAACCATTGCCGTCGCGCATCGTCTCAGTACCATCCAGAAGGCCGACATCATCTACGTGTTTGACCAGGGTCGCATTGTCGAGCAAGGTACGCACGCCGAGCTCATGAAGAAGAATGGCCGCTATGCCGAGCTGGTCAACCTCCAGAGTCTGGAGAAGAACAGCTAGATATCGGAAGGGTGTGCGTGACGCTGGAGAAGTCGTTTACTTGTTTTGTCGCGAGTGCTGTATTTGCTTGCTGAGGCCTCATGGCGTTGCCTCTAGAGATATCCGGATCATGACACTGGTCCATGTCTTTTTTTTTTTTTTTTTCCCTGCATCACTTGGCGTTTTAACTCGTTCAAAAGAGAGATTTGCCAAAGACGTTCGTCGACGTCAAAACAAAAAGGGGGTTAGATGGATGAGAAATGTCGGGGTTCTGTATGTAGCCTTTGGTTTAATGGGCAGGGTTGAGAGAATAGACTCCCCTCCGTGGGTACTCGGGGTGCCTACTCGCTTAGAAGTAATTCCAATCTTTCAGAAGCTTTCGTTTCTTTCCTGCGTGTGACTGTATGTGGTGTGGTGGCGGGACCAGGGTCGATGTAGACGCTGGAGATATGATGCTTGCCCTTGCTGTATCAGGACACTGGCTCGATAACATGCCTCTGGTCTTGTCGGGACTGTACCCTGTTACATGTGATGGTGCTGAGACGTCGAGCCAACTGGTAGCACGCTCTAACATGGACGAGGTGGTGTGTGGCATTGGTGGGGAGGTAGACGTGGTGGCCACGCGTTTGGTGATTGCACTTTTCTTGAACGGCAGTAGGAAAGAGGATGCACTGGTGATAGAACCTTTCATTTTTGTCTACCTCTCAAAATCGCAAGGCAACGAAAACCCACGTCTCAATAATTTGGTCAATCTGGAGACAACATGAACATGGCCACCCAATCTAATCCGATCCGATCCAATCCAAGTCCTTTATTCCCAACCCAAAGTACCTGCGTAGCTTTCCTATTCCTCTTCAATGGTATCCATCTCCTCCTCGTTCTCCGCCGACTTCTGCGCCGAGCGGGGTGTCAACCGAGGGGAGGGCGAGCCGCCAAAACTGCTCTCGCTGGCTGCGAGTTTCGCTTCCTGGAGCTTCCGGTACAAGCTGCGTGGAATGCCTTCTTCGCCACTCTCCGTCGAGGTGGACTCGTCGGATCGGTTCTGCTGTCGACGGCTTGTGGAGGGAGGGTTTGCTCGGCTTTGCGAGTCTTGCGCGCGCTCGTCGCTGGCCTTGCGACTCGCAGAAGCCATGAGCCTGATTGCCTCGTCCTGCTGAGCTCTTATCTCCTCCTTCGCCTCCTCATCTTTCTTCTTGAAATAATCGGCCTCTAACTTATCCAGCGTGGCAAACGTAGAGTACTTTCCATTCGAGCCATCCTCCGAGCCTTCCTCCAGAGGGCCAAACTCTTGCACCAACCACTCGTCGAACCGCTCTTCCGACCACTCGGCGTCGAACCAGCCAATGTACAGCTCCATACCCTGGGGAGATGTTCGTTCCATTGGGTGAGGGGGGTTGGGAAGCCACTCGAGACAGTGCCGCTCCCTGCCGGGGCCTTGCGCATACTTTGTCTTGCGCCATACCTTTGTGAGGGTGAGATCGAGCAAGACGGGCCGCGGTTCATCTAGCTCGCGTACACCATTGATTCCCCCGTGATTGCGAAGGGTGATGATGACGTTTGCCGGGATGAAGTCGGCGTGTTCGACGCTGATGTGCATGTGGACCGCGAGTTGGTGGAGTATCTCGCGAAAGGCCTTCAGCCGGAAAGGCTCGGTCAACTTTACCTTCCTGGCCTGGGTCGTGCTTGCCGAGCCGGCGAGATCGTGGAAGATGACCTCTTCGGTGACCGGGAGGAGATAGCCGTTGTCTTCGTCCCTATCGCAAAGCTCTTCGATGGCGTGGCCCTCAATGTACTCCATCAGAACCAGGCCGGCCTCCCTGTACTTGCCGTTGCCCATCCTAAACCTGATGGCCCAGGTTCCGTAGTACTGGGGGATGAGATTGGGGTGACCGGTAATTGTGTTCCTGGTTTCCTGCTTCTTGCCCTTTCCCTTGGAATCGGATGGAGGGGCTTTGGGCTTTCCCCTGTCGTAGAGGTACTCGTACGCTCCGGACTCGCGGCTCAGGAGCTGCTCGGCGAAAACATCGTTCCCTACCAGCGCAGAGAGGACTTCGTCGTCGCCCGGGAAGAACATGGGATCGAAGATTTTGGCGACGACGTATCTTTGCGGCTCCGGGAACGGGGCGTGGGACGGTCTGTATTCAGCGGGTTGTTTCGAAACTTTGCACAGCAGGACTTGAGCGCCGCCGCCGATGCCACCTGATAGAAGCTTGATGACTTCAACAGAGCCGTGTGTCTTGGGGCTGTGAGCCTTGGGGTCGAAGTCACGGAGGTGGCCCTCTGGAACAGCCAGTTTCGGTGGATTATCGTAATGCTCCAGGCCATATGGATCGACTACCTTGTGGGGATAGAGCGTCAACGTTTTTCCTGGATCATATTTGGCGAACTGCGAGTCTATGAATCTGTCAAAGGCGGACATGACCATGATGGGCAGTATCGACAGTAAGGATGAGGAACGGATAGAGGCTGGTATGGAGTCAAGTAAAAATAGGTAGAAGAGGCGTGGTCAGAAGAGAAAGATAGAGTGGGAGTTGAGATGGAATGGCAGGATGAGAGACTGGGTGCGGGTGGCCCCAATTGAGGATCTGGGCGAAGCAAACGGAGATAACTCCTTGGTGGCTTGTTTTTTGCTCTCCAAAAATATTGGCCGTGTGGACGTGCCGGACTCTGGGTGCCGCTGTATTCCCACGTATATACTGCAACTTTAAAAAGTTTTCGCACGTTAGCTTACCGTCCACCCAGATGCAGCCAGCCGTGAAAGTTACACAGAGGAAGAGGAGATCAACTCAATTACCAGATCTCTTGGTCGTTACTTCACTTTGTCATCTCAAACCCATTAAGGTACCTTGGTCTGTTTGTCAAAGCACGGCCGACAATGTCGTTTGTTACCACGCCATAAGGCTCTGGCGGAGCCAGACAGGCTCAGACAGACCGCAGTGGTGTCTTGTCTACATGTGCGCAAGTCTCATCTCGTCAGGATGCGGCCAGGCAAGTGACAGCGCTGGCGCCGGTGGTGGCGGTACCACAGCTCGCAGCCTTCAATACTGGAAGGACCCTGCGCACGTGACGCGATACGTTGAGATGCCGTGATTGCTCTGGAGACCCATATTGCATTGCATTGCAGTGACTCTTACGGAATTGCTACCGACAGCCGTGTAAGAGTGCTGCTTTGGCTTACCGTTGATCTTATGGGTGTCGATGGCCCACTGGATCAACTGCCAGCTATTGTGTTTCGACATGTCGAGTTGGATGCTAAAGGAATCTTTCCAGAACAAATGTGTAAAGTAGAGCATGCTCCCCAAATATTTCATGACCCCATGCGTACTCTACACGGAATAACCCGTGTAAGTGTAGATATTGAATCCAACGACACAAATAATGATGGAAATGAAGCCGAGACCGGCTTAGAAGAGCGCAACGTAATTGACGATGAAAACAGTGACGAAGACTGGGCCCCCCATTGAGTAGTTGAATTGCCGAGCAAAGAATGATTTGGGGAGATCTTTGAGTATGAGAAAGCGTGGCAAGCATATTGCCATGCCATCTATGTATTATCTTCACCAAAGCGGCAAAGGACATGGAAAACACTCTCTTCGGCATTCTTCCGCTGCAACCCGTCTGCTACCTGTCTTTTGTTGTGTTATTAGACTAGTCGTATCTCTCGTTTGTACCAACAGGTAGGATGGCCTTGCCTAGCAGAGACACGTCGTAAGAGACAGGATCGTGGATACAAGACCCGCTTCAACTCGGTCACCCTGGGCTTCATAAATTGCCGGGCTAGAAAATGCTGATGTCTACCGTGGTGATAGACAAAACTAACACACGTGTGCATGGTGGATGGCAAACATCTGCGACCTGTGGAATAGACGAGACGCGTCCCGGAACACTTCGTCCTGCGCGGCTCACCGTCTCTTTGTCTGCCGCCCAGCGAATCGTGATGCATCAAGTGCCTGAGCCCATCTCAAGGCTGGATTTGAAATTCTCCTAGAACTTCATGTCGGTAAAGGGTATGCGCAGATACGGATGCCAGCCGACAAGCCTCACCGTTCTTGGTGGATTTGGTGAGATTATTCGCTTCTATTTACTGTTCTTCGTTCTGTTTACTATTCTCACAATGGGGTCTCTGATGGTGACGTTCACTTACATTCCTTTTTCTTCCAGTTTGACTGCGTTTGAGGGGAGTGTTGCGATTTACTTTGAGTATCTGTCTTGTAAGTCCTTAGGCCACGAACACAGAATTCATGGCATGGCCAAACAGTAGGGATTTGAGTCCACAGACGTTCTCAAGATAGGAAGGAGGCTGCCCGGCGTCAAAATCTGCTCGTTGCCAGTACTTACCGCTTTTTCATCTTTACTCTACCGAACCTTCCCGCAGGCCTTCTTGCCGAGTTCACCTTCTTGCCAAGTTCACCTTCTTGCCAAGTTCACCATCTCGACAACTTCATCATCTTGCCATCTTCACCTTACCGTCAGTCTCTCCTCGTCATTTTATCTGACTTTGTAATTCGTCATCCCAACCCTAGTACGACTGGTACCAAACCTTCACTCAAACCCTTATTCGCAATGTCATCCGCACCGCTCAGCACGACAGATGCCGTTTTCTCGCATGAGCACCGTCTCCCCCGCTATTCCGTTGGAGCTCGAAAGACTACTCCAACATCCATCAGCTACACAGCGACAACTCGGACCATACCGCAGAATATCAAGTTGGTGGACATATCCAAGTACACTCAGCTTGCAGGAGATTACAAGGACAAGGTCCTGGAATCGGGTATCAACCAGAACCTGGTCGCCGAGGGTGGCAGCGTCTTACCGAGGAACGCCGAGCAGGACAACGTGGTGCTTTTTCACACCCATATTGCCCACCCGACTCTGGAGTGCCTCGTCCATATCATAGAATCGGACACCCACGACGTCAAATGCACGTGGGAGCACCAACTACGCCTCCCGTCCATCCCCAAGCCCCAGCCTGATCCCGCCGCCGCCGCCAGCGGCAAGGCCAAGAGCGACGCCAACAAGGCGACGACGAGCAAACGCAGCACCAGACCGACCAAGAGAAAACGGGTCTCGTCGCTACACAGTGTCCGAGTAAGCCCCGTTGCCAGGTCGCACGTCGAGGTTCGCCCGGACATGATTGTTGTCCTGGATCCCGCCCACGCCCGAAAGATTGATCTCAAACAAGCGAGTCTCGGGGCGAAATCTGTATGCCTCACTTGCGTTGAGATGAAGCGAACGGGTGTTCTGGCCTCCCGCGTCAACAACATCAAGGCAGCAGCGGCATCTCTTCCCCTCCCGGTCGCCGTCCCTAACCGCATGATAGTGGAGGGTTCGCGCGTCAATACGCCGGAGGCGATTAAGCTCGATGTGGGATCGAGCAATCTCTCGAAGCAGGGGATTTGTTATTGCCTTACACACCGGGTCAGGAACATTGTGCTCTCCGAGTTTGGCGTTGCATTCTTCCTGCGATTCCCAAAGATGCCACTCGACCTTCCAATCAATGAGCTCTGGGAACACGGAGTTGGTGACTTGATGGAAGTGGCTATACTGGAGGAAGGCGATAGTGAGAAGATGCGGGCTGCCTTCCTTGGCGCCAATATCGAGGCTTTGAAGGATCTCCAGGAAACCGGCCGTTTCAACGTTGGGCTGTGATAGCAATCATTTTGTTAGGAACGTAATAGACAGAGGACTTGAAGATGATATGTTTTGCACTGAATAGATGGACATGACACACCCCACTAAGCATCTTTCCTGAGCACTCATCCCCATTCTCGTCTTCTTCACTCACGAATAAGAGGTGCTTTTCAAGCGTGTAGAGGCTACATTAAGAGAAAAAGAGACCAAGATAGGGACGGAGAGAGAGATGAAAATAGAGAGATAGAGAGAGCAGGACTATTGATAGAGCTCCTAGTATGTCAAAGAGCTCCTAGCTATGATTGTAATTTTCCTAACTACGGCAGCCTAAGTCTTGGGGGCATCGAGCATAAGAGCAAACCCGTTTGTTAGAAGGCAGCGTCTGGAAAGAAACGAGCAGTTCACTGGCGCTGCCAACACGACTGCTTCCATCTCCAAGTCTACGCACCACAAGGTACAATTATCGAGCTTCGTACCGACCATAAAGCTGCCCTGCTGGGGTGCTTGCCAACAACAACCTCTCGGCAAGCTGAGTCATGATTCCAGGCTGAGATTTGGGGTCAAGCCAACACCAACTGCTAGAGGAAGCGGAGTCTTGTTTTTACGAGCATGGCGGAATGCTGAGACTTGTCTCGGAGTTACTGAAGTGAAGACTACATGCTGTGCAACCCGGGAGGAGAGCGTGGCCGGTCTGAGGCTCTGAGCAGGTGGTGGAGGATCTAGGCTACGTTACCCATTGTCTCGGTGTCCTGTCCTCTGTACTGCCATGGTTTCATTGCAACTAAATGGGGTCTAGGTTGTGCGACACGCTACCAGGCTTCGTATCGCAGAGAGGTTGGTTGTCGCTGAGCAACCTCGGACTGGCCAACTCATTGCCTCTGGTATCATTTGATGGACGATTTGCACGCCGGGGCTTCATTGATGTATCTAGCCACACGTTCACGCTCATGCTTGGCTTGGTCAATTACTCTCCGCTGCGTCCATGATGTTGGCATGGAGATGCTAACGCAAAGGGGGGTCATGATATCACTCAATGGCCAGCCAGGCCGAAAGCGCCCGCCCGTTGCACAATTTTCCTCTGGATTGTATTCATTCGATCTGTGGCGCCGTTGTACGAGCCGCCACCGCGCCGTCTGGAGCTTGACCATTTCCCATGCGGCGGTATGTGGGCGTTATGTAGGGAGGCGCAGGTACCCGTCGACTAGCAGAAAGCGCGGCGAAAGCCAAAGCAATAGACCTCGCACCGGCGGGGCGCTAGCCCAACGAGCTGGGAGGGCGTTGTGGACGTGGTAGACGATAGGATAACACAGGACGGTCGTCAACACCGCGTGGCAATTGGGCATGCGGAAGCGGGAGACATGGTGCGCTCCGGGCTGAGCGGCGTACCGGCACGGAGGAAATGAGACCCAGTTGAATGAGACCACTTTGGGCCAAATATCGAACTCTCGCGCATGCACAGTGGTAGCCAAGTGAGTCGCGGCCGAGACCTGGCAATGTCTGGAGGGAGCATCCCTTCTGCAAGGAACCAAGGAGCGCAGTCTCACCGTTTACGAGCGAGGAAAATTTTTGAGGTTGCCGCCGGGCCGCTGGATCCGGGGCATTGCACGAATCCCTTCTCCTCTCCATGTATTTGACTTTGAATGAAGTTTATGCTGCAGGTTGTAGTGGCGCCTCCGCAAAGACCGACGCGGTTATGGTAGGGTTCTTGGTTGCAGATTTCACGTCTACATGTGGTGGCCTGGCAGGATTGGGGAGGCGGCGGCTGTGGACAGGGGACTCCCTCGTGGAATGCGCGGCTGGAAATGAGCGGTGGTGGATGACAGCCGCTGTGAGTCCCAGCTTCCCGGCCGAGGCTGGTGGTGCCTCGTAGATCCGGTCGACTCCAGGTTCTCGCCATGGCTTTCCAGCACGTTTGATGGTCGGGGCCTACTGGGCAGCAGACGTGCTTGGAACCCTCCCTTGAGGCGAACTGTTTGTGGTGTTGTGTGCTACTTGTATGCTCTTTTCCCGGGCGACGTTGGTGATGAGAGACACGGTCGGGTGCATGGAAGCGACGGCCTCTATCGGTCGATTATTGAGACGGATTCAGTCTAGACGCAGGCGAAATTCCTTCTTCGGGCCACGTAGGGCAGCGGGTGACGACGACTCGGGCAACAGAGGCTGGTCGAATCGGGAAATTGTGTCAAAAATGTTTAATGGGATCAATGAGAAAAGGGCGCACGGAAGTTGGATAGGGGAAGCCGAAGCATGGATGCAAAGTGAAGACGGAAAGAAGACTGCAGAATGGCGAACAGACGGCATTCCGGCCTGGCACCATGGATGGCCCGGCCACGAGTCGCTATTTTTACCGGGAAGGACGGACGAGCACATTCTGACAGCCGGGAAGATGACTGGACACAGACAGCGTCGTGTCCCGCCGTTTACCGTGGCGGGCAACCTATGGTCAGGGCAAGAGCGACTGCCAACTGGATCAACTGCACGAGGAAGGAAGAATGGGCCAATGTGTTCATCTGGTTCTTGCCATGGCATCAACTTTCTGGTCTTTTTCGTTTTGTGGGGGTGGGCAAAGCACTGGGAACCAATCTGCAGAGTCCACCTTGGCCCCTTTTCCAGGACCGACATTGTCCATGATTGGCCCTTTGCATCTGCCCGTACAGGACAGGTCAATTAATTGCACCTGCCAACATTTCACAAAATCCCTCTCCTTGGCGATGCACACGAGATGGATGTGCATGCACGTTCATCTGGATAATGCCAGGCGGTGGGCCCCCGTTTGCATTCCGTCATTCGCCCGTCCCGCCGCGAGGGGTATGTTGCTCTCTTTCTGGGGTCTGCAGCGTACAAGTTGTCGGTACGGAGTACAAAAGCTTCTGCGGGCTGTTGGCGAGTGACGACAGACTGGAAATAGAATCGCGAATGCTTGTCGAAAGAATTGTGCCAGGTGAGAGAGAAGATCAACCATGTGGGCTCTCACCTGAAGACAGACGAACGTATGGCCCCCACAACTCCAGGCGCAGCACCGCGAGCCGGACATTGGAACGCAATGCGCACGCCGCACACCACCACACGCACCAAGCCCAGACGAGGGACCTCAAAAGTCGGGACCCAAGAGACGCACACAACAGGTCAACACTTGCAGGGGAGGGGATTCCCAATAGGGACACTGAGGTGGTCATCTCCCGCCCACCTGGGGCTGGCTTGGCTCAAAGTGCGGACACACACGCAAGTAGTGAACCAGAACCACAGATCCGGCCTCGCATCAGAGACAATAATCCAGTCTGACGTGCTGCCCGTTCCAAGCCGGTGCCAATCGATGGCCGTAGCTGCTCATCCCTCGTTGCTACCCTGTAATGCCCGCCGTTCTAGACCACTGGCTGGCATGTTCAGTCAGCCGCCCGTTCAGATGCTTTCCCTCACTGTCCGTGGTCACTACGGTGTGCCGTGTAGATACGCAGTGTGGGAGGAAACCTCGTTCACATCAAGACGACCTCGTTCCGTCTTATCCATTGAGGCATCCCGTACATAATCGCTGCAACGCTACCAGAGAAACGTACGGATAGTTCACGACAAAGTACGGTCTACGCCTGGGTCGATGCGACACAGGACACCCTCCCGGTGCAGTCCGGTTGGTCGACGCTTGAGATTGCGAGATGATAAGGTTGTTTTCCCTTTGTTCATGCTATCTCCCTACCTGCCTATATGCGATGAACTATCAGACTTTTGTGTTTATTCAAGCTCACTCCAGTGCTCCATATCCGTACACTACGGATACTTTCGAGGTATCCCGGACTCCCGCCCGGCACATGAAATTGAAGAGTTGCTTTTCTTAGCGGATCCCAAAGCCGACGTTGCGATGTCAACCCGCAAGTTCAAGGAAGCGAAACCTGTCAGTCTAGTGACCCAGGACTCAAGCTTCGACCGGGAAACATCTCCCTTCCATGGATTGACTAGGTACGTACTGCGAGCGCCCTACCTGTAGTTGCCTACCTACCTAGGTACCTAGCGACCCGCGCTCTCGTGAGCACCCGACCTCAGCAGAGAAGCGGGGTGCAGGCGCAGATGCAGGTTGGCTGTGGTTGGCAGTTGCTGTTGTGGTTGCGGGACGGATAAAGTGTAGAGGCAGGTGCAGAGGCAGGTGCAGAGGATCGAAAGTGCAGGCAGGCACAGGTGCAAGTGCGCGCCTTCTGGTGGTGGTGACCCAGGTGACGGTTCCATTGGACTGGCCAGGAGGGCGGCAGGCGCAAATATTGGCTCTTGCTGGCTGAGTGGCTTGACGCCAAATCTCCTCCTTGGACCTTCCCCTTCCCGGTCGGAGTTACCCCTGCCTCCTTCCCCTGTCCCTGCCAAGGGTGGCCGGTTCCTTCTTTGAAGTTCTGCTGGACCCATGGCCCATGGGGCCACGCCGCGGTCCACGAACCAGTCCAAGTGCCCACTCACCAAGTTCCCACTTCAGGGCAGAACCAGGTCTCCGTCTCCCTCGGCGGACCCAACATGCACCTCGTCCTCAAGGCTCAACCGTCGCCCATGACTCCATCCTGTCGCTGCTGCGAGAATACGACCCAGCCCGACCTGGACCCCCCAGCTGCCGTCCATGCATCGCACACGCTCCACTGAAGAAGCCCGTTCACAATCCACCTGAACCCGAACAGGAGCTGCCCGTGAATAATGCAGTAGGTTGTCTTTTGTTTTGCTGCTACCCACCAGCCTACACACGAAATACAAAGTACTTCCTACCTACACTACTGCGCAGTAGTCACTCCGTACCGAGGATTCTTACGCGACTACGTTTTGGGCCCCCAATGCCGCAAGCTCAAGTCCACTTCACTTGCACCGTCGCCATCCAACTTCCCCTGGACCCCTGCTACCCTGTCCGGCCGACTAAGTGTGCGCGCCTCCTACTACGCGAGCGAGCCAAGCCAAGCCAATATTGCTGCCAGCTTCCCCCCAAATCGACCATCCATCCCGTCCCATCTCACCCGCGCTCGTCCACTCGTTGCTCCTTCTTAACCTCGTCCTCCCCCCCAGCCAGAGCCAGGGATCGTCGCCGCCTTCCAAGAGCCTCACCTTGCCTCGTCTCGCCCCTTCGCCAGACCAGATCCGACAGAGCTGATCGTCTCGACGACTCGACCACGGCGGGCAACTTCTAAACCAGCTATCGAGTGCTACGGCCCACCTACTGGCGACCGACAAAAACTGCAAGCTTGGGAGTAACTGGACATCGTTCAACTCGACCTCAATCGCCCCGAATCACCTCAATTGTGAACGCGACCAGCCTTCCCAAGTCTTTTCGTCGACTGCAGCATCGTCGACCCGTCATCTTTTCGGCCATTTGGACCGATTCCATTCGTTTGACCGCACATCCTCACCGTTGCCTTCATTGGTAGTCGCATCTGCATCAACACAACCCCGACCGCAAAAGTGTTCCACCCGTGCAGCCAGTGGAGTGGTGATCTTGTTTTTCCTTGGTGCTATAATATATCCACCATCGCGTGCGTGATCTGGTCGATCACCGGCTAGAGACATTCGCCGCCGATCCAACGTGGGGTTCTCTCGGCAAACACCAGCAATAATTGCCTTTTTCTACCCCATCAAAACTCCGTCGTCGAGGACTGCTCTTCTCGACTCGCCAGAACCGCTGCAAGAGGGACTAGATTATGTTTGGTCTTGGCAACCTGCGTGTCGCAGTATTCCCATGATGGCCATCATGTCGTTGTCATCCATGACCCGGCCACGGTCACTATGGCTTCTCCTATGCCTCACCATTGCCTCCGTGGTGTTGGCCGGCTCCGAACCCGTGCTGGAGGTTCTTCCCGCTCAGATTACTGCACCCGCAGTGCTTCCTCCCATGGACGCCCTCGTCATTGACGATCGCACGCCTACGATGATCAAGGGCCGGTGGACCATGGTTCCGCCTGGGTATGACGAACTCAAGAAGCGAGACGACGAAGGCATTACGTTGACGCCCAGCACAACCGACAAGGCGTCAGCTACTGCGGCCTCGACTACGCTGACCGTTTCCGTCACGGTGCCCGCTGCGACTGTGGACTCAGCTTCACCCCTGCCGTCGCCTTTCGACACCAGTCTCGCCTTCAACTTTACCAGCAACGACGGCGCGTCCTGTCCTCGCTTCATCAACTCGCTCCTCACCAACCAGAACTTTAAAAAATGCTACCCGTTGTCGATGCTGCTCCAGGTATGTTTGTTGTTGTCTGTCGGTGTTGTATAAGAGCTGACTCTCTCGTCCAGGGCTCGAGATCCTTCTTTGAGGCTGAAAAGAAGCTTTTGAGTATTGTGAGAGTGCTCGACGCCACCTGCGGCGCTGACGTCGAGTACTGCACAGAGTTCCTCACCGGTGTGGCCGGTAACCTAACGTTGGACGCCAACTGCGGCTCCGACTACCAGGCCGGCAACCCAATCGTCATGCAGGCCTATCTCGGCTTGAAATCGTATGAGATGCTGTACAAGGCTACCTGCCTTACCGACCCCGACACGTCCATGTACTGCTTTGCCAACGCCGTCACCAACCTCACCACGCCCTCCAACGTCTACTTTTACTACCTCCCACTCAACATGACTTTGCCCGCCAGTGCAAACCCCACCTGCGGCACGTGTCTCCGACAGACCATGGAGATTTACCAGACCTTCACCACGAATCGCAAACTCGCCATCTCGTCAACCTACGAGGACGCCGCGTCGCAAGTCAATACCATATGCGGACCAGAGTACGTCAACGACACGCTTCTGGCCGCGGTCAGCACGGCAGGGCTGTCGGTGCCCTCCTGGGCTCTGGCGGCAACGACCATGACCCTGGCTCTGCTTTACAACATGTTGTAGAGCGGTCGGCAGACTGCACTGATCCATAACGAGTCATGTTTTGAGTTATTTGATTTTCAGCAAGCGCCATGATACCCTCGACATTCTCTCGTATTTATTTCTACTTCTAATGCCGCACCCGGCATCCGACCTTGTCGGTCTTCACATTACACTTAGTATTTAGTCTTATTTCTATTCACGGCCGGATTTTGGGTAAAAGAAAAAAAGAGCCGGGTCCCAAGGGACGGCATCGGATGGCGGTTTCGTGATTATTGGCAGCAGCCGGGATTTGGGCATGGCGCATCCGCTGACTTGGCGGCATACATTGTCATATACGATGGCAACCACTGGCATCTGACGAGATGCTCTATATACTGTAATCTTCGCATGGTGCGACTGTTGATACTCTTCTCGTAGATATTTTTTTAGTGGTGGATTCACATTGGTGCGGGGATGGATACGGCGGCCTTTCAGGGTCACGTCAATACAATATGTAGTCAACACTCGACTCATTCGCTCAGTGACACCGCACGATGCCACACACAGGGTCGGAAGCCATTTACAGTTTCCCCTGCCTGCGACCCCTTTCCTCCTGCTCCCTCAGCCTCCTCTGGACAACCTTCCACGGGTGAACCCCATCCGCGTACCCGACAAACGGGGCCCCGGGCTCGTACCCGAGCAAGTCCACCAGCCGCCTCGGCATCCCGGCCAGCTTGTCCCACTCGACGGCGAGGATCTGGTTCTCGAGGGGCCGCATCCAGGGCTGGCAGTACTGGATCGTCAGCGCCCTTCTTGGGTCGGGCGAGGTGTTTTCCCCGCCGCCGTGCCAGAGGGTGCCGAGGAAGAAGACGGCGCTGCCCTTGTCCATGACAACGGGGATGGCGTCTTTGCGCTGGGGGAGGTGGGCCGTGTCGGCGGCGCCGGTGTCGGGGCCCCAGGTGTGGGAGCCTGGGATGATGACGGTCGCGCCGTTTGAGGGGGTGAAGTCGTCGAGAGCGACCATTACGCCCTGTTGGGCTGTGTCAGTCATGGAGGAGGCAGCTGTGGTGTGCAAGGGGGAGGGGCATTACCGTCCCAAAGGACCGATGGGGCCTCGGCACCCCGACGTAGCCGTCGTCGTGGTGCAGCGCCTGCGGGGCCTCGCCGGGCTGGATGTAGACGCTGTGGAAGGCGTTGAGGAGGAAGCCCGGGTCGAGGAAGTGGTTGTTGAGCGCGAGGAGGGCCGGATGGGTGGGGAACTTGTGGAAGACGGGGGACTTGTTGAGGAGGGCGTAGATGCGGTGGGTTTTGAAGCCTTCGAAGCTGTTTCTGCCGCCTGTGGTGGTGCTGTCCTTGTCATTGGCACCGGCGGAAAACCCCCCGGCTGGCCCGGCTGTCTTGGGCGAGGATGTCAGGCGCACGATCTCGGCGTGGGCTTCATCTACTTCCGGGGCGGAGAAGGCGGAGGGGATGATTACGTAGCCGTGCTGTTCTACGTGGGCGATGAGGGTTTCAATGTTGGGCACGGCGGGCGAAGACGAAGAAGAGGTGGGGGTGGTGTGCCGGGATAGACGGGCGTCGGCGCCGGTTTGCGCGTTGACGAGGGCTTGGGCTCGAGATTGGAATGGCATTGTTGTTTCTCTCTGTGCGTGCGTCTCTTTCTCTACGAGTGTGCTACCAATACTACTTCTCTTGGGCAGAGTGGAAGATGCATTGTTGGAGACCCTGAGGGGGCCGCGACATATACACCTGTCGTTGGATGTGGTGTTACTCGGTAAGATGTGGGTCCGCCGAGGTCCCGGGAGATGCGACTTGAACGCGGGGAAGAGGTAGATAACTCCAAAATCTAAAATGATGGGTTGAACTTGGAGATGGAGTGCGGGGCTGCCGAGGTTTTGTGATGAGGACTTACTAGCCGGATTGAACGGATGGATGTCGCTGTTCTGCTGTTGACTTCACAAGACGGACGATTCCGTTACTTATCGTTTTGTTTCCGGCCTGACGTCGGCCGGAGGGGTCCGCACTGACGGAAAGCTTGGACAGCTCCGATCGGCCCCACTTTAGCCCGGGATTTTGACTGCATGCAAGTGAAGTGGCTCTTTTTCATCTGGGCTACCTAGTGCAGAAACTGTTACTGCCTTTTTGTTTTTCAGTCCTACCCATGTATCCTAATCTAGCTTGTGACTTGGGACAGAGTGCAAATCATTTCTTTCTGCCGAAAACCTGATATCCTGTGCCATGCCTCCTTTCAATCATCATTAAAATGTCATACAATCATCACTCCAAGCGTAGCCCTTCGAGCTCCTTCTTCAGCACTTCCACAGGACGGAAGGTGCTTCGGAATGGGCCAAGCTGCAAAATCCTCACCAATACGCTCTCCTCCTCCTTGTACTCCTCGCCGGCTGCTGCAGCTCTCTCGGCCTCAATCTGCGCCACGCTCTTCACGTCGGAAAAGTCCCCCTTGATGCCCGTCTTCTCCTCTCCCCAAATCTCAAAAAATGGATAGCCGTGGTTGGCGTACGACTGGGCGTTGACGGGGGTGTCGGGAGCCGGCTGTCCCGTCACGGCACAGAAGGACTCGACGCTCAGGATCTGAAGGTTCATCATCACCGAGGCCTCGACGTCCCAAACGTCGGCCGGGTACTTGTCTGCCTCGATCGTTTGGGTGATGAGACCACCAGCCGCGAGCCCCATCTCCTCGACTTCCGGAGGTGGTGCCGCCATGGCACTGGAGACGGAAGCTGCGCACATCATCATCTCGGGACCGCCGCCAGGAGCCGCCATGGACTTGAGCCCTCCCATCATGCGCATCCGTCCCCGCATTGGCGTATCATGCCCGACGTTGACGGTCGAAAAGTTTGGTGGGAAGTAGGTGTCGCCAAGCTTGGTATCGTCGGAAAAGTCGATTCGGTACTTGTCAAAGCCCGAGCGGTTGCCGTGGTCGCTGAGACGCTGTTGGTCGACGGCTATGTCAAACTCGTCGCGGATGAGCTTCTTGACATCCAGCCAGGTGCTCTCACCGGTGAGGCCCTTTTCCGCAACGTTGAAGGTCCGAGTGACGACCTTGTGCTCCTTGTTCTCGTAGCGGACGTCAAACTCGGTCGGGAGATTCTTCTTGATGGGAATCACTTCAATCTGGATGCCGCCAATGTTCTCCTCCCCGGTGACCTGGGCCTCGACTGAAAAGCCCGATCCCTTGGGCTGCGCGACGAACTGCCGAATCTTGCCGTCCTCTGATACGATGCCGTCCAGCCAGTTCTGGTCAGGCACCACCATGTAGTCCTGGATCTGCTTGCCGCTGTTGAGCATCCGCACGCGCTTCTCCAGCGTCTTTTCGTTCTCCGTCATGGGCAGGCCGGAAACCGCATTGACCCCGCCAACGTAGATCTTGATGGCGAAAGGGGCCTGGGCCGAGAAGTTGACCCACATGGCCTCGCGCTGGTACATTGGGAAGAAAATGCCACCCTTCTTGGCCATGCCCGCGGGCATGTTGTGTGCGTAGTCGTGGACCTTGAATAGGGGAAAGGTTCCGAGACCGGGGGGAAGGCTGTTGGTGTCCCTGTTGTCGGGGACGCGGATCGTGCGGTTGAGCTGGATAGAGAGGGCGTCTTTTTTGCTGCCGTGGGAGATGCGGATGTCTGATCGTGTCGAGTTAGGACCGTCGTCTCCCAGGCGCACCGTCACTCTGCGGCTGCTGGCAATGGCGTGCTCTTGGGAACGAATCTCGGGCATGACCTCGACGGTCTCGGGGTCGCTTGTCTTGGTCATCTTGTGTTGCGGTGCTGGGTGTCGGGTGGTGGAGATGAGTGAACGACTGTTCTCTGGTATGTGGTATGGTGAGTTGAGTGAATGGTGGTGTGGGTGGTGAGTCGGATGTGTTGACTCTACAACCTGAGGGACTGGAGGTTCTTATAGACGGCAAGGTAGACGGTATTTTTTTTTTTTAATCGTCTGAGTCAAATTCTAGGTGCCATGCAGGCAGTCGGACGTGGTGAGGAGAGGTCCTTGTGGTTCAGCCTCATCGTGACACTAATCGGGAAGGTACGACCGTCAAGGGTGGAGGGAGCAACGGCAAGCCGCAATTGGTGCTCCTGCCTTGAAGTTGGCTGCCTCCACAGACCGTGGCTGGTGATTGGTCGCGATTTCCAGATCGGGCTGCTGGACCCCGCTGCCTGGGGCCGTGCGCCAAGCCAAGGACCGGGGGGCGACGTCACTCCAGCGTGTTTTACGCAGCGGCGTATTACTGACCTGGACTTGCCCATGAAACATTCAACAACATGCCGTCAACGACACGTATCACAGCGTTGCAGATTGTCTTTACAACCTGAATAGAATACCAGTCGCTTTGTTATGGGACGCAGTCATAGAAAAAGACAACATTATCTTTCTCTTTTACGAACGGCACCGTCCAGACAGCTGAGCTACACATTCTGACCGACGCCGTTATGTACGGCCAGACTTACGAGTGGGCTACAACCTTTTCTTCTTCTTCTTGTCGGCGTGCTGTTCGGCGCTACCTTCGTCGGCAGCGCGCTTGGCCGGCGTGATCTCGTCTCCCTTGGGTCGCGCCGTTTTATGGTCCTCGCCGTGATCAGCGTGCTCGCCGTCGTCGCTCTCAAACTCGTCCATCATCTCTGTGTCCTGGCCCGCAAAGAGCTCGCGCCAGCTGCCGTCCCGCACCTTTTCGTCGTTCCCGTGGAGGCCGACTCCGTACGCCTGCTTCATCGCCGCCAGACACGCCGTCCTCCTCTCGTTGAAGTCAAACATTGGCTTCGGGTACACGCCCTTTTCCTGCTTCTCTCCACGACCCGTCACCCTGACCCCGGCTTTTTTCTGGTCCGGCAGCGGGGCTTTCCACGGCTCGTAAATGTACTTGGCGTCCAAGTCCTTGAGTTCCGGCACCCATCGCCGCACAAAGGCGCCCTGCTTGTCCCACTTTTGCCCAAACGACACGGGGCTGTAGCACCGAAAGTATTGCGAGAAGAAGGCCGTGCAGCTCAGCCATTGCCAGTTGCCGGCGTTACACGCGGGCTCGTGGTCGAGCAGCCACTCCTCAAACACTTCACAGCCGCGCTCCCAGTCAATGTAGCAACCACCTCTCGTCAGGAAACAGGCGACCGAGTGGCGCCCCAGGTGATGAATCCACCCCTCCTCGCGAAGCTGCCGCATCAGGGCGTCGATCCACGGGAATCCCGTCACGCCGTACTTCCACCGCCGGAACCACTCGTCCGCCTCCGCCGAGTCGACGTGGTACTCGCCCGTCACGAGGCCTGTCTCGTGGTTGACCTTGGACGGCAAATGCCACGGGATGAAGCGGCAGTAAGGGTTGTTGGCGGTCTGCGTGAACTGGTAGCCCAGTGCCGCGTGCGCCGCAAAGTACATGTCGCGGAAGAGCAGCTGCCCCAGCAAGCTCTCCGGCACCTTGGAAGCCCCCTTGCCGTACTTTGTCACGACGTCCTGCACCTTCCAGTAGAACTCGCGCACCGACAGGGCCCCAAAGTGCAAAAACGGCGATAGAAAGGTCGTCGACTGCGGCTCGAATGCCGCGGGGCTCGTCTTTGGCTTTTCAAAGGTGGCCGTGTACTTTTTGTCGGCCAGAATCTCCTCGAGCATCGCCAGCGCCCTCGTCTCTCCGCCCTTGTGAGGCGTCGTCGCCGACGGAAACCCGAGCTCCTCCATCGTCTCAATCGCAAAGTCCCCCTTGGGCCCCGCAATCTTCTTGTACGCCGCGTCCCCGCCCTCGGTGCGGTTCTCCGCGTTGAAATCGGGCCTCGTCTCGGGCGGCGTCTGCTCAAAGTCCACCGGCATCTCACCCGGATCCGGCAGCGACTCCGGCGCCGCCACTGGCTTCGCAATGGGCCCGACCTTGGCGCCGGCCGCCTGCAGCTGCGCCATGGACATGGTCGGCTTGCCTCCGTGCTTCTCAACCACGGCGTCGCTATCCCACAGCGTCCGCCCGCTCTTGATGATCACCTCCACCCCGGCATCCTGGGCGGCCTTGATGACCACCTCGTCCCGCTCGCGGCCGTACGCGTCCGTGTCCTTTTCAAAGACGAGGTGCGTCACCTTCCACGCCTTGAAGAGCTTGGGGAACAGCGTCTGCGGGCCCTCGCGTAGCACAAAGAGCTTGGATTTTGGGTTGAGCTTGGTGATGCTCTCTGATAGGTCATTCTGGCAGTCCAGTCTGGGCACAACGGTTTGTGTAAGTCATTGTTTCTTGCTCGTTACTCCCTCCGCAAGGGGGAAGGGGGGCGTGGGGGAAAACAAACAGAAACTGCCACCGGTTCAGGCCGCCTCGGGCGCGGTACACGTAGTGCGGATCCCAGGTGAAGATGGGCCACAGGGCGGCCGGCTCGAGCGCGAGCGCTGCCGCAAGGGCGGGCGAGTCGTGGAGTCGAAGGTCGGTCCGGAACCAGTATATCACGCGCGGGCCGGGTGCCATGGTGGATGTGAGTGAGTGCGTGCGTGCGAGTGAGTGAGGGCGAGGTATGTGACTGAGAAATATTGGGTTGAGTGAGACGGTAGGTCACGAACGCTGTGTAACGCGAATCACGAAATCACGAGATACTTTCACCTAAAACCTAGGATGGAGTCCCAATTGGCATGTCACTAAGCAAAGGGAGACAGGCTTGTCGCGTGAGGGAAGCGCGTCAAGGAGAATATGTTCCGCATTGAGACATCAAGGGTCGATTGGCTGAGTAGGTGTTGCGGAATAAAAAAAAAAAAAAAAAATCAATGATGTCAATGACTCTAAGCCACGCGAGTCTTGGGAGTAACCACAGCGCCACACATTTTTCGTTTCTTTTCTTCCTACGATCCAAAGACAAAGTCTGCGGGTGTCTCAGTCCCCTAAAATATCCTCACACCCGTACTCCGTACTCCGTACTCCCTACTTATTGGACTGGGGTGGTCCAAGAAAGACAAAGTGCCTTGGAAAGAAGGAGGGAAAATAAAAGCCCGGACCAAGACCGGCGTGTGCTCGCGCGCCACTGGAGCCCGCCGAACGGGACATCGTTCCCGCTTGGTGCATCCGTACCTAGGCCATTCATCCCGTAAATCTCGCAAAGAAATTTACGAGATTGCGCGCGCATACTGCGTACCCGTTTCCGTGGACCATGGGCCGGTTGGGTTCCCTAAGGCGATGGGTAAGCACCCGTGACCCCGTCACCCGTCACCCGTTTCGCCCGTCCCCTCCCGAAAACTTTATTTGGATGATGGCGGCGGCGGCTACTGCGATGCTTGAATCGCGGGCCAATTGCTGTGTATCCGTACCTTGCATTGGTGAAATGGTTCAATGGCCCACAACCCACGAACCCTGACGGTTGAAGACGAGGGGGGAAAGGGGACAAAAAAAAAAAAAAAAAAAAAAGGACCCATGAACCCTGACTCGCACGGCTGGCAGATCGCTAGGGCTTTGCCAGGGAGTATCGTGGACGGCACGACGAGGACGATGAACCCCTCGGGCCCTGAGGATTTCTCAAGGCCCGAGGACGGAGAACATGCCACACGGTAAGGCTAGAGAGAGAGAATGAATAAGTCCCTGGAGAGACAAGTCGCATGCCTTGGATGGCCTCACCCATTTTTTTTTTCTATTTTTTTTTTGGCTCCCTTCATGTTTCCCGGCTCGCCCTTCACCCTGTGTCGGGCCGTGTAACCTCAGACTCTCACGCTGGCCAGCCGAGGAATGCAACGCCTGCGACGATGGCCCGGCTGTCGGGTGGGGATCGTCGGCGCCATCGACGCCAAAGTCGCGGCAATGGGGCCATGCGTTGCGACAGGTTGCCCAAACGGGAGTGTCTCCCTTGCTCGCGGCGTGCAGTCAGATCATGTTGGAATGGAGGTCCGCTCCGACGTGTGTCGGCTGAGCGCAGCATCACTGGTGGCTGAACAATGTAAAATGAGTTCGACAAGGCGGCGCCCCGACTTTGAATTTTGTATCCATCTCGTACCTAGCGAGGTCACAACAAAAAGCCTGTACTTCGTCCCCGTGTGGGAATAGAGCAAAAGACTGCCTTCCCGCCAATGATGCAACCGAGGCCTCGAAAGTCGAACCCAGTATCAAACTTGCGTCTCTCCATGATCATAACCCATAAAATTGCCACAAAGGGTATATATAGATACGAAGAAATGATGAGTGAATCGAGAAGAAAGTAAAGCAACAAATATGCAACAAATGGGATAGACACATGTAAAAAAGAAACGACCATCGTAGCGGGTATTCCTCGCTTTGCTAGGATGTGATGATAAATTACCGCCTGGCCTCGGAGAGATGGTTTCGGCGTGTAACAAGTATTGCACACTCGTTCTTGTACGCCTCTATCGTCAAGAACGGCCCCAAGCCCGACGAGAACTCCCAATTGAAACACCATCGCCGCCGTCTAGTCGCCGATTTACCAATCTCCAACAAACGCCGTGTTACATTATGCTGCCATCCCGTGTCCAAGTCGGTGGGGAGTTTTTGGTTTTCCTTTCGTCGTTCACCGCTGCTTTCTTGTCTTTTTGCGCCTGGTCGTCGAGGTTCCTCCTCCGCCGCCACCGCCACCGCCAGCACCATTGTCTTCCTCGTCTTCGTCGTCGTCGCTGTCTACTTGTCGACGAGCGTTCTTCCCACTAGACTTTTCGTTGCCCTTTTTGATGGAAATAAGACATCCCTGCTCTTTGAGACGCTTGGTGAGAGGTGTGCTGGCCTGCATGCCTGGGAAGTCCTTTGCGCTGTAGACGACAAATATGTCGCTCATGATGGTTGACCGGATGGGAGCTTTCCTTGCCATGTGTGTCGGGTCGACGACAACCAACACAAATTTGAGACGGAAGCTGCCCGGTGTGCGGACTGACATGTCGGGGAAACAGAAGAAGCAGCCTTCGTTGCCGTTTTCATCTTGACCTACAAAGGGCGATGATACCAGCGAGCCCATGATCCGCTTGCCTGGCCGCATCCCATCGTTGGGCATGTTGGTTTCGTCGGTCTCTCCATCCACGTTCCAGATACTGCAGTGAACAACGTAGGCGGGGTGATGAATCTTGTTGTACAGCTCGTCAGGCGTAAGGTCGGGATTGTTTATCCGCAGCTGGACAATGGGCGGCGGATCAATGACTCTTCTGTCTCTTTCGCCGTAGCCACAGCATCTGGCCGCCATGGGTTGTTGGCGGAAAAAGATTTCGTACTCGTTTCGCACCACCTTGACTTCTGGTTCCGGAACACGCTGAAGCATCCTTCGATCGTCGCTGCCGCCGCTCAAAAGATCCTCAATCTTGACCCTTTCGTGCTGGCTCGTGGCACTCCACGGTGCTCCGGCCGTCGGGATCGTAGATCCAGACCGCACTGCGGGAATTCTCAGGCTGGGTGGCGTGAATGGAATGGCGACTTTTCCTCCGCCCTGGTAGTTGTCGTTCAACACCCGTGGGGCACCGTGCGACACGTGTGGCATCTGCGGAGGCTGGTTACGCTTGAGATAATGTGCTTCTCTTGCCGCCTGGTACTCATCGTATGGCTCACTCTTGGTCGCGGACAATGTCGGTGATTCGCGTGGCGACTCCTGGGGATAGCGGGGCATGGGAGCTGCTCTATACGGATCGGTAAGCTGTGTCGGTTGAGGCGGTGGTTGTTGGTAGTGTTGGTACTGCGGCGGCTGATGGTAGCTGGGCGAGGGGGGTTGGTGGTACTCGCGCTGATGCTGATAATCACTGCGGTAGTAGGGGGCTTGATGGTAGTCGTTTTGGTGGTATTCGGGCTGCTGCTGTGCGACGGGCCTCGGTTGCGAATTGGAGTGCATTGGAGGTGGCAGTCGCATTGGTTCGGGTTCGTAGGCGTAATGTCCGTCCATGACTGGCCGTGGCGGGCCATACGACGAGGGCGAAGGCGCCCATGAATTGTGCCTTTGAGCCATGCTGGGTCCTTCAACTGGATGATGGTGAAAAGTAGATTCCGCTATGTGAAGACGGAGAGAGAAAAGACGGCCAAGACGGTTTGTGTAGTTGCTCCTGAGAGTGAGCTGCCCTTATTAGCATCAATGCTTGTTCCGGCGCGAGGGCACCCTTCCACGTTCTCGGCTCGGGGGTGTGGCGGCCGGAGCGAACTCACTGTAGGTGGAGAGGTCTCAGATCCGTACTCAGCCCTTGGCCAAAGTCAAGCGCGGGAGAGAGAGAGAGAGAGAGCGAGCGAGGCGTTCAGCTCCGAATGCGCTCAGCACGATCGGCGCGTGTCAGCTGGCCCGAATGTGATTTGATTGAAGATTTTGAGAGAGAGAGAGAGAGAGAGAGAGAGAAAAATCGGCGTCGGATGATGCAACTCAGACCACGCCCATTGGAAGCTCTCTCGCGAAGAAACAAAGGTTGAGAGGTGCTGGATGCTGAAGATGGACCAAGAGACGGGCGGTAGCAGAGAGGGGCTCTTTTGTCCGCTGTCTTGCCCAATGGCGCTTCGCAGCTTGGCGGACGAACGTGGGCAAACGTCTCTACACAGGGCTCGTAACAGAACAGAGACACCTCGTTCCCTTTCCTTTTTCGCTGTCCAGACCACTGGTCAAAGGCGCGCGGTTGAGACACGGTCTAATCGTTATCGGCGACAAACAAGTGCGGGCTTTTGCTCGATGGATCGGAGCGGCTAGGTGTGTCGGCGTGAATAGAGATGGTCAGAGTCGAGCCGGGGAGATCCTTGTCCCAGTTGGCACCAGCGAATTTAGTCTGATGGGAGCCCCCAGAAACCGGGAGGAACGATCAGCGGGACGATTGAGGTTCGAGACAGAATGGCGTCGAATACGTTGTCGTTTGGCATGCAAGACGGATGAATGTTGATGTGTGAGTACACGTTGGCGGTCGGATCAGGCCAGTGTCGGATAGGCGTGGGCGTGGGCGTGGGCGTGGGCGTGGGAGGATGTGCGGTGTTGGGAGTGCGACCAGAGCGAGGCACAGGTATGGTGAAGGGAAGAAGAGGGCAAGGCGACGGTGGGCGGTGGGGGGGGGTTGTTGGCAGGTATGTATATGAAGCTGCGGACAACTCAACAGGGCCCAATCCGCGGTTGCAGGAATCGATTTGCGGTGCCAGAGAAGGAGTGGAGGACGGAGACGAGAGGCTGTACAGTATCTGCACACTGCTAGGATGGGTCTAGGTTCCCTGTTCGCTCTGCCCGTCTGGCGAAGTGCACCGCTACAAAGGTACGATGGTTTCTGGCTCAGGAGGAGAGGCGAAGAAGGAAGAGAGAGAGGAGAGGGAGAGGAAAAGAGCAAAAGGCGAGCGAGGATCAGGGCCGACCAGCATCAGCACGCGGCATCCGCAAAACACCAGGTGCAGTGTTGGCTTGTCTTGTCCTGTCGAGGAGAGACCAGGATCAGGCCCCACGTCGGACAATGTGATGGATGGGGGAGAGAAATTGGGGCCTTGCGACTTGTTGGACGCGAAGGGCGAGCGAGTGGTAAGCGAATACTCCGTTCCAGACTAGATAATGGCCGAAAAGGATTCGAAATAGGTTTTCCGGTCACTGTGCAGAAGTGATCAGTACTATTCAAAGTATGGATATCGCACGCAGATTTGGCTGTAAAAAGAACGAGAGACCAACGGATAGGAGGGAGGCATTCGTTTGGAAGATTTGGGCGAGCAGCACAGAGAGGTAGCGCGATAGGGTGGTCTGGTAGGCGGCGCGGAAACGGATGGGCTTAGGGGGACCCCAGCTCTGGCGAGCCATGGCCAAGAGTTGGACGAGGATGCGGTTCCAGTCCGGCGACCAGGACAAGGACCGGGGTCATGGGTTCGACCAGGGCAAGCCGCAAGACAGGAGGCGACATTGGCGGACGGGTTTAGGGGGGGGAGTCGGGACGGTGGCTGTCGACTGTCGAGAGTCTGGCCGGTGAATGGTCGGTCGAGGGGATTCGTGAGGGTGCCGCATCGCACTCGGCCTCCGTCCAGTTGGGAAAAAGAGAGATGGCACGACGGGTGCATGGGAACGGAGCTTGGAATGCAACTTGGATGAAGTTGGGCTGAGGAGTATGGAGGAGAGTAGCTGTACGCAGTATGTAGTACATAGTAGGCTGGAGGCAGTCGAGGGGAAAGGATACGTACCGTTTCCTGAAGCATCGGACGGGCAGTTCATTGGACGAACGGGTCTGATTGGATCACGAAGAGGAGGAGAAAGCTGGAGGGACTCGAGGAAGGAACATCCAACTTTGGGTTGAGGTGTGTGGGGAAGGCCCAGCCCAGAGTATGGTACGTATCCATACGTCCTCACTGATGACTAAGGTACCTACTCTGTACTGTACGTACCTACGAATACCAACGCAGTGAGGTAAGGTAAGGTAAGGTAGGTAAGCACGTAAGGTACCTTAGCTAAGTACGAATTGGTGCCTGCCTGAGGTGAGGTAACCGGTCCTCGGTTCTTGGTGCACTTTTCTCATAACAATGCATTGCAGCCATCGCAGGCATCGCAGCGAGCGTTGTGCAACACACCCAGCAATTCACCAGGCTCACGCAGCAGCAGTCCTCCTTTTCGGACCACAGAGTACGGAGTACAGTGCCAAAGCAAGGGCTCCATTGGCGTGCAGAACTGCGCATGCGATGCTCCTGCGCCCAGTCGAGCAGAGTGGACAGAGTCAACGAATCAGACGGCGTTGGACGCCTCGTCGGAACTGCAACTTGGGACCTGGGTGTGCCGGGGAGCCTTGGGCAATGCAACCCGACCATGCACGCCTTAAACCCGCGAGGGACAAGACTCGACGAGTGAAAAATGGGAGCCCTGGTCCCAGCCGCCAGTCGCAAACTCGTCGACTTTGAACATTCCCCCGACGCTGCGATATCTCGCCGACAGCCTCTGTATTTGTACCGAGTGGCAGTCGACTCCAACGGCCCAGGAAGGGGACCACCTCGCCTTGGGGCCCCTGGACCTGAACCCGGACCTGGACCTGGACCGGCAGGAGCGAGTTCCGGAATCGCCACATGTCTATATTTACCTTGTATTTTACCTGCACCATGAGGACGAAGTATCCCTCCGCAACATGGCTGGAAGATAGGTGTTCTCGAGGAGCAAAAGCATGGGTAGCGGAATCAACAACATCTCGTCAAACCTGGAAGTTTGCGGGGACGTAATCGCGCCTTGGGGCCCGCTAAACGACGGGTGCATCCATACCTAGCGGCCGACGATTGGCGCCAGGGGCCATGCCTACACTCCCTTTCCGCGCTATCCTAGTGCTGAAGCTACGAGCGCCCGACTGACGCCTCTACGCATAGAGGTTGTGAGGTCTTCGAGGCATTAGCGGGTACGTTAACCTCTAGTGACAGCTCTTCTGCGGGCATGACATGAACAGACCTGGAAATCTCTCGAGGCTTCGATGGTGCGGCCAGCAGCGGGCACGATGCAGGTCAAGTTAGCAACCTTTGGTACGTTACTGCGTAGTACGCAGCAGACAGACTCAGCATCTGCAACGGCCGGGGGGAGGGGACCTGCCTCTGTTGGAACTTGGGTCCTTGCTGCTGCAACGAGATTGGAACCGGGGCTTGCGCTTCACCTCACCATCCCAGCCGTCCCACGCAATTTTCCACCCTCCCTCTTCCCACGCATCCAAGTCCGCAACTCCATCACCCAGACACACTCGTACGCTTCTGGAATACAACTCGGCCGTCCTCAAAGACACTCTGGGCTTGCGGCCTCCACTGCGCCGCCTTGCTGATGCCCCTCAGCTGACTGAGCCTCGGGCGAGCTTCTGCTCCGTAGTCTGTATCCTACGGCCACTCTGTGTCCCAACGTGCATGTTTGCTTGCTGACATTTGCTTTCAGGCCTCGCACTCGCTCATGCCTGTGTGAACTGTGGAGATCGAGATCCTGCTCAGCTTCTCGTCGCTTTCTTTGCATCCGCCGCAGCCCGCTCGCTACCTCGCTGCCTCTGCTGTGCCACGCGAGCGAGTCTCGTCCACGATCGGAGAACACCCCGGCCCATACATATACTACCAAAGACGTAGCAACTCTCTTATACTATTCGAGATACCCGCCGAGGCATGTAGAATCAGACATCTCCTGGGGACCGCCTTTTTGCACCGGAGGACGGGGGCTTTCGTCCCAGCCCGGCCCGCTCCTTCTGCCCTCCTGGCTCCTGCTATGCATCGTCTCCGAGTTCCCACGTCCGTCGCTTTGTCGCCCCCAGTTCTCAACGTCCTCCGGCCATCCAGCAAACACGCTTCTCAATCGAGGCATTCACCCGCGCCGCTTGCTCACCCGATCGGCGAATAGCCCACGTTCCCCTGTATTCCTCAATCCCTTCCGTCGGCATGTCGATAGTGCTCAACCTCGTTCATCATCCATTGGTAATGATCTTCATGCCTCCGTTCCTGCTCCGTGCCGACACCAGCCCTCAGTGCGTGAGTGCTAACACGAGGCAATCAAGTCGCAATCAGTCAGCGGGCCACCAGGGACTAGTCTATGGGCTGATGTCAGCGCACGTTAGTCTCTTGTGCCCTTCTGTGGAGACCAACGACCGAGGCTCCTTTGGATTGTTCTCGGGTCAATCATTGTCCAGCATGCACCCGCCGCATACAACAAAGCATTTCGTCGTCAAACCGATGCGCCGTGGC